CCACGGTCATTGTATAAAAATATTTTGTATGCTTCCCTTTCTTGTTTATGTTTCTACATGTAGAGACGGAGTGAAGCCCTTAAAAGGTCAAAAGGCTTAAGCAGAAAATCGTACTCAGCTTTTTTTTTAATTCAACACATACTGTAAGCCCCCACCCCCTGATTCTAAGGAACACAGAAAATACTTTAGTGATTTTGATGAAAGGGTCATGATGCAGTCTCCTGAGTCACATTGTCCTTTTGTGATTCAAATATATCTTGTCTTTGAACTTCAAGAAAATTAGTTGAAAAACTAAACATTTACTGCATACAGTAAGATTCTGGATGGGAGTTGTAAATTACATCCATTTAGCATCCTGGAAGCTTTTAAGACTCTAATAATAGACTCACTAACAACTCTAGTTATACAGAGATGTTTCACAATGACAATCTCAAATTTCCTTGGATCACTGTCACAGAGATGTAAATCACACCATGATGTCATCGAGATGCTTGTCACTGCCTTCCAGATTTCAGCAAATGCATCTGGCTGTAGATGGGTTGTTTTTGTTCTGCTTTTTGATTGGTCACAAAAATTAAATCTTGCGGTTTTCTGAGAGCTTCTGTTTGAGATGGACATTGAACTGCAAGGATAATCCTGGTTGTTGTCACTTTAATCCTGCCCTGCGAGTCAACTGAGGCAAAAACCTCATAGCCTGCGTTTAATGTGCACATAAGAAAGTTTAAAAACAGGGGGAGGTCATTCCACCCTTTCAGCTCACCTGGCTGCTAGCAGCCAAGTAATCCAAGGATCCCATAAACAAAGTTCTTGAATCGGTTTCGAGAGCATGGCTGTCTTCCAGACCTCTGGTGTGAGGCATGCCAAGATAACACACTTCAAAATGATCATCTTTTGCTGACTGTGCAGTGGTAGATCTCACCACTAGTGGAGCTTCTGGCACCAGTGTTCAGCTCTCTGAGCTACTGCGCTTCCTTTGCATCGGAACCTCTCCTGCGTCTGCTCTCCACTACGCCACTTTAGCAGGTGTAATCCCCACCTACACCCGATTATCATTCAAGTCAAGTTCAAGATCAAGTTCAATAATTTAGTGCCACAATGACCAGTAGCATGGATTGGGGTTTGGTGAGCTCATACAATTAAACATTAAGACATACTGTAGAATGCAAATCTACAATATAAGGCCAATAATACACAGTATCCACTCAACACATCTTCACATGCCATCCTAAACAAACACCAGTAATTAGATAACAGTGAGACCTGATAAAATGAATGAATACAGTGAATTATGCAAAAATTTCAAAATTAAAGAGCTGAGTTCATGCATCTCACAGCCTCCATACGGTTATGGAACCTAGACGTCCTTATCTTGATAGACCTAAGCCGCATACTGAAAAAGTCAGTTTTGGTTGTAGATAGATATTCAGTACCCTTTTGTGTAAATTTGATGAATCCAGTCTTTTGCGCTTAAACACACATACGGAGAACACGTTAAACAAAACCAAGCACAAACAAGACACAGTGTCAGCCTGAGTTACCTTGTTATTCTTCTCGTGACTAACGTGACAATACTGTTTTTGGATTGTGGAGACAGAAATATTGCACAACATTTAAGTGAGATTTTACTCTTATAAAATCTGTACTTCATTTAATATCTTAAGATTCTTTGCATTTTTTATTGCTTCCCCACGTTATCTGGCTCGAGGATAGTCACCCTTAGAGGTGGCTGCATCTTCTGGGTTTCATTGCACCCTGGATTCGCAATGGGCTGGAATCCGAATTCACTGTTCACTCAGTTGATCCTGATTACCACTGATTCCAGGTCTGTGCTCATTGCGGATTGAGAGTCACCTATAAAACCTTTTGGACTGCAGCTCAGCTCTTCAGGACCTGCACTGAATGTTGCTGATCTAGAAGTTGGAAGTGTTATGTCAGTTTAAACACCTGTACTGTATTTTTCATATTTAGCAGTTCACACCCCTACTGCTTGCCTCAGCATGCCAGTACCATGAATGTCATCTGCCAGGCATTGGCACAAATTTTTTGCACAGTTTGCGTCTTTAATTTTGTCTGCGTCTGTTAGAATTTCCTTTGTAGCCTCTATAATCTTTGCTGATCATCCCATTTTGGTATTCGGATAACTGACTCGTTTGCTAACTGTATCAGAATCTAGATCACTGAGATAAATTAAGAAACTATTAATACAGTTTAACACAGACCACTGTGATAACTCCACTAATTCCTTTACTCCCATGTCCCAATACAAGCAACCCCCACTATCTGTGCTATCTCCTATCCATTAAGCAGATATAAATCCAGATGTTGAATGTCTGTCCTAAAATGTGTTAATTCATCTTCTTCAAGTATATCAAAAGCCTTCTGAAAATCTCAATATGCCATTATCACATGCTCTATTTTTTTAACAATTACAGCTGCAGCTTGCTTATAGAACTTTAAAATTCCCTTTTAGGTGCTTCCACTTATTCTAAATCTATATCGACTATTCCCATGATAGAGTACGATACTCATTTAGTTACAGATCATTTTCTTTCCTTTCCTGTTCTACATCTGGTCCAATTGTGATCCAATACTGGGCACCACCACAGGCTGAACAGGTTTGTTAAATACACCAGCACGCAGGTCATTCATGAGGATAAAAAGGAGCAACTGTCCTCTCAGTGCCCTACATAGATGACACTTATTGCAGGCACATTACACATAAACAAGTCCTAGTAAGTGTAATGCGAGTATGAGTGTTGCTGAGAACTAGGCAAAGGTTATGCCTTTGTGTGATTAAGCCTCGGTGGAAGAGAAACTGTGTGGGGATGATAGTTCCCTAAAAAAAAAGTAACGCAACAGACTACCAAATCAAAGCTCTTTGAAGTACAATAAAACAACTGGCTTTTTTCACTCACTTGGTTTATATACTGGATTATGTTTCGTAGGGCTAGCTTGTTGTCTTCACAGTACAGCTCTCAATCCTTGCTGCTGATTCTATTTGTAAAGTCAAACATTTTGGGCAAAATTGTGATTTGCAAAGAAAGCAAAGTTAGATGTTTGCTCACTTCAGCCCTGTTGGAGAGATGAATATGGATGTGGATGGTGTGTGACGTAGAGAGTGTGCTATTTGTCCTCTGTGACTTAAGAAGAATCATCTTGGATCTGTGAAACACTTGAGGTTTCTGAAATACAAGCCCCTGCCAGTGAAATTTGACTAAAGACATTTTTACTGCTCTTAGCATTAAAACATAAATCTGTGAACAGTTATTTTCACACATGAAGTCTGTTCTTTGCCCCATCTGTAGTCGGTTAACAAGTGAGCATTCAGAGGCTTGCATGCTGCTTAAAATGTCAAATCACAGGCCCTCCATTGGAGAACTCAGCAAGGGAAAGCAAGGGTAAGGATCACGCTAAATGATAAGACGTGCATATTATTTGAATACACTTAATTATACACGTGTGTATAACTGTAGAGTCTATATAGCCTTGCTCACATGCTTGTTTGTCATTTATTACACTGACTATATTCTGCTACATATTTTTAAGAGTAATTACTTGGAAAAGATGGCCGAGCCAACCTGGACTTTAAAATCACCTATGACAGCTCTTCCGAAATGTCACACACAGGGCCTCTCAATCTCAATCACATATACAGAAGCATCGGCAGTGAAAAATATCCTTACAGCTATGTGCTGTTCATCTACGATTACATTTACAAATTTAATCACGTATGTGTGTCACTGACTGTAATTAGACAAACTATATAAACCGCAGGACACGATTCCCATGAGAAATTCAGGGTAATTGCCAAAATTACAACTGACCCCAAGTCTAACAGTCACCCAATGGTTTATTTTTAGATCATTGCGTATTCTTGTTAGAATTCAGAGGATATCCCCTCGGTTTCCTCTTTTCCATTGCTCATGAATACCTGCGGTGTCTGCATTATGTTGTACTGAACATTTAGGCCAACACCTCTATTTCACGCCCTCTGAGATGTAGATGCCGTGCAAGAGCTTATCTTTCTAAGATGATGGTGATTAAGTACTTCCATTATGAATCAGGAGGCAGTATTAAATATGGAGCTAGATGAGCTTTTTGTCAGAGAAAATCAAACTTTGCTCTTGAGTTCACTTTACTCGCTGGTAGACTTAGGACTTCTCACATCATGGGACTCAGCAGAGGTAAGGAAGGAGACTTCTTGTGACTTCTGGAACCCACTATGCCCACCATTCTGTTTTTGGCTTGTATTCTATACGTGCAGACTTACGACTGCCCAAGAGATTTTCAATGGCATTAGGGCTTCTCAGTTGTGGGCCCTCCAGTCCACGCCTTTAGACTTCAATTTGCTAATCCAGCTCTTTAATAATTTAATGGGTAATTAGATGAACTTAGAAATAAGAAGTTAGTGACATTAAAGTACAGAAATGGAGCTCGGAAATACACACTGACTAGCAGACCATTACTCTAAAAGTTGTATCTTGCCCTAGGTAATATTCTGCTGTATTTGCAATAATATATATACTGTATATTACAGCAACTTATCGGAAAAAGGCCTAAAAAAATCATTTTGATTTTTTTTCAGAGCAATTACAATAGAATTGTAGCATAAAAATAGTAACTTATTTATTAATTAAAAAACTGTTTTTTCTCCACAGGACTAAAAACTCTTATGTTCCTTCATCTCTTTGGTTTCATTTTATCATATCCTATACCTATAAACATCACAAATATAGCTGGGACAATACTGAACGACAGCAGAGCTTTTTTGGATAAATATGTAAGTTATAATTTTGTATGTATGTATGCATTCTGGATGCCTTCAATACTATTTTGGTTTTGAGATTGTCTCAGTATTAAAGGACAATAACAGTGTTTCTTTATCATTAAGACACCCTGACTAACTGCAGGGGAAGGTTGAGTTAAAAAAAGTTTTTAAATCCATGAAATGATTTCGTCACATCATTTATAAACATCATGACCAAGATTGTAATACTCACCTTACATTTTACATAGTGCGCCTCACACGTTTCCCTACTGGGCAGCAAAGTCTCATGTTTGAATAAAATTTCCTCGTCCGTCATGCCCTACAAAACACGTTATTTAGATGACAGCTACAGCACACCAGCACCACGCTAAATCAGGACCACAGCATGCTCCAGCCTTTTTCTATGAAATGACATCCTGTATTCAAGTATAGCTTTTTTTTTTTTAGCTGTATGCAATAGGTGTCCGTTTTATACGGTATGTTTGTAAATACCTGTACGCGCTGTGCAATCTTGACAAAATTAAAACACGGCCGAATGAACCCCTGCGATTGGTTCCCCTCTAGCCACAGCGCTTTAACAGCAGCTATGCGTTCTAATCGCGTTGCTAAAGATTTTGTTTCTTGTTCGTTTCTATTGCAGATCACAGAGTATAGCCATCTTGGCAACATCACGCACCCCGTCCACGGCGTTCCCGAACCCACAGCTGAGAATGTGACTCTCAAACAATTAGCGAACATCTTCAAGAGCTTCATCCACAATCTGAAGCTTGTGGTGCAGTACGAGTTTGAAGAACAGATTCTAGAACGCTTCAGACAATTGAAACAAGACCTGATCGTCACATGGGAGGCTATGGGGTCCCATGGCGAGGAGCTACCTTGTGTCTGTGCTCCTACACCTGCCCTCGCCAAACAGCAGCTGCACGCAAAATCTCTTCTTGTCCTGTTGAACAGGTGGCTGGAGAAGATCAAGGCATCACCATCTTAAGGTTTAGAAGTCCGTCGATTGTATAGTGCAGTGACGGAGAGGATTCGTGAGGGCCAGCACAAAACCACAAAATAGATTTTTTTTTCTAATCTTTTTTGGTTTGGTTGGAAAGCAACAACTTTACATAGCTTTTTGTTAAAATCACTATCCACTATTTACATACTTTCTTGTGAAACACAAGCAGGGCAAACCACCTCTTCTACAGTATATGGTGTACGTAATTGAATGGGATTGTGTATTTTGTGAGATTTAAATATTTATTTTCAACTAAAATCTTATTTATTTTTATTTATTTAATAATATATTTTATTGAAGTTCGGTGTATAATGTAATATTTATTTTCGGCTTCTGAAGTTTATTGTATTTACTATGTAAAATGTATTTTAAAAATCATGAATAATACATTTAAAAAAAACTATTTTCTATTCATTGTCTACGGCAGACGCAAGCAACACTGATCACGTACCACAGCTGTTCCTGATTTTCTATCCATCTCAGATTTTAATGACTTAATTGAACCAATTAAGGGACAAGGAAGCAAAATCATTTGAGCTTTCCAAGTTTAAATCTGGTGCTGCTTGAAAGGTGCCTCTAAAAAAAAAAAAAGTCTCCAGTCCTTGTTCTGCAGAGCCTCAGTCCAGGAGGTTTTCTAAACCAGCATTAAATGACCAAATTGTGACAAATAAAGCAGGTGATTTCTGAAACCAAGTAATTTAAGAACCAGACATGGTACTGAACTCTGCCTGAACAGCTTACTTGCTTAATTCATTAACACAAGGTGAAGACTTCTGCTGTAGATACTGCGGCACTCAAGGACAAGTGTTTCATCTACAGACGCAGATGGTGTCACGTCTTAGAGCAGGAACGGACTGGCAGCACTTGGGCACACACCCGTTTCAGCCTTGGCAAACTCCAAAGGAACTTGCACTGCGGCCTGATTATGCGTGTTAGGCTTTTTTTTTTTGGAGTTTGAGCTCATGCAATTGCTCTTGAAAATTCCTACAGCACGCACATTGAGTAATGAAAAGTGGAAGCCAAGGCTTAGGTGCAGTACTTCTACTGTCAACAGGAAGCTTCAGAGCTATACCTTGAAAACTGCTGAGCTCAGGTAATGGCAGAGCATGACTGATTTTATCATTCTGTAGACTGACTTGGTATATTTGTTTTCCCCCACATCACGCCTGTGCGCAAAACGTTTAAAACTGCAAACTCTCATGCATTCAATTCCAATTTTCATTTTTAGGATGTTTTCACTGAAATGACTGCACTGTATATTGCAAGAATAAAGGAGGTAATGGATTGGAGTGAAAGGCTTTCTGTACCCACGAATCTCTCTGAGATCTTCCCTGTAAAACCACAGCTATGAGATACACAAAGTGAGCATTTTTAAAAATATCCTCCGGAAGTTTCTGGACAAACCCCAAAAAAATATTTCCTGTTACCAAACAAGGTCTGCGTTTCGTTAAAGTGCATTATGATTTGGCAGATACAGTTTCTGTGCATAAGGGTAGCAGGAAACCCCAGCTGCTTAAGTGATCCTTCTTGCAATCCTGCATCAATGTTTGATAAAATTTCAGTGCTTAAACTACAAAACAATACAGCAAATCAAATCAATTTCCACTTCTAAAACACACAACACCAAATACACTTCATTCATATTCAGTCCACTTGGTCCACTCATTACTACATTTCTAAAACGCTAACACACAAAAACCTAAAAAAAAAAGATAATGCAAGCTAAACGCTAGGTGACACGGAGATCCTCGGTACTTTTTGATTTTGAACAGCAAAATTCCAGGTTGGCTTGTTCCGATTACACACGTCTAGAGATTAGTCTCTCAGAGATAAAACTATGAGGTCACACCACAATCACATGTCCAGTGTACAAAGACCAATAAACATCAGCTGTGGTATCTCGACTACATCTCTGAAAGGACACGGATCAGAACGTAAGTTTAAAAAAACAGAAACATACACAGAAGCTCACCTGTCTTGTGAACTCTTTTATTGGATCAAAAATCTGAATTCTGTGCGAGACCAGTTGCATACCTCATTCTTATCCTGCAGATCTCCTACAAGGCCTTCAAGAAAGCACCCCCTGCATTGCGCATCACTGCTGTAATGGCCACAATGGCTCTGGATATCTGACTTTTCAGGTCTTCGGCCCTCCTCAGGTAAATCCTGTGCAGCATCTCTTTAAGGTGATTCCACAAGAAAGTCGTGACTCAAACGGTTTCCGATGTGGGTGGAGTGGGGGGGGAGGGGGAATGTTTTTTAAAAAAGTGCTGCAACCAGTCCTTTGAAGAGGACTCCCACTTTTAATATAACTACTATAACACTTTGACAAGATGTTCCTTCCTTTTTGAAGTTTACAGTACTGTTTGGGTGGGAAGGTAATATTTCCTGATCTTAAGGTCAAATGTTTTCAACATAGAAAAAGAAGACTGGTAGCAATATGCTGGAGCTCTGAGCCCAAGTCTAGTTTTCTAGTTGAGGCTTCGGACAGCCGTTGTGGCTGTCATCTGTTTCAGAGTTCTCCTGGGTTCCAGCTGCACACTGGTTGGAAAAGTTCGGTGATTAAGATGAATTCAAACGATGTCTAGTTCTTTCTTGAAGTCCGTGCACATCCATGAAAGAAACCAATGATCTCAACACATCATACCTTTAAAATGCATACACAGACAAAACATGAAATTAAGCTTATCTGAATTTCAATTTTTGCATTTTGTTCCATGCCTTGTAACTCTTTAAATTTTTCAAATAATAGATAATAATGACAATAGAATAAAATTGTCAAAACCTGAAATACAAAAAAAATCACTGAAACAAAAACTAGGCCAGTTATTTACAAAAAGAAGGGGAGGAACCAGCTGAAATACACATTTACAATTTCATATCCAAATTTAAATGCCTTTCAGTTCCATTTGAATGGAAATCTTAAGCCTGCAGTTCTACAAACACCAATAACACAAAAAACATTCTGTAATTTCCAGAAACAAAAAAAGCTTTATGTACAAATGTTTGCAAAGCATCGAAGAGATCTTTATAAAATTGAACTAGACCACTTAAGTTTATGACCTAGAATGCAAACCTTCAAAAGCAAATCACGTTGAAAAAGAGGAATGCAGAACGGAGGCAATTTCAAGACACGAAAAAGCATCTAGTCAACCCATTGTGCTTTTGTCTTTGCATAGTCCCCAAGTTTGCTGTTAAATTAGTCAAATTATTCACACAGCTCAACCAAGAGTACAGGGTTAGTCAAAATGTTTATCGACAAGTATAAATGCCAATTTTTTTTACTAGAGTTTTGTTTTTTCCTCCAAAGATGGTGAAAGGATTGTAAGGTAACGGTTATAAACTTTGATATTTATGCTTTTGTTTGAAACCTTTTTTGTCACAGTAACCCATGTAATTAATTTGTAATAAACTGTCAAAGTTGTCAACAGCATTTTGACTATCCCTGTATGAAGTGGCTTCCCACTGACTGCCTCTATAGATATAAAGTTCCTGAGCCGAGAAGAACTTTGCCGAGTTTTCATTAAAAGCTGTATAAAAATGAAAAGCTTTGCAATGTAACACCAACCCCCTGTAATGCATTGTTAAAAATGCCTGTTATCTTATTTTTCATGCTTGTGCTTAAGCACTTGGAATTTGTATTTTAAATACAGGATTGATTAGACCTGCCAATTCAGAATGACCTCATGTTAAGCACAACAGCCCCTTTTACCAGTACAGGAATAATGTGGATTGTCTATACCTTCCACTTGTGAAGCACATCTGTATTATTTAGGATGACTGAACTATGCAAACTGCAAAGATGTCAAGAAGTCCTTGAATCTTAAGGATTTTAGTAATCTCTCATTAAGAAAGCCTGAAGGGCTAGACAGGGATAAGGGTTTAAAAAAAAAACTTGCTTAAATCCTTTTACTGTACATCTCAGTCATTTGATCCAAGTCACTTACACATTTTCAAATGTTTCAATATGGACGGGAGTTTTAAAAATTACAGACTTCTGCCATGTAGCAACACGGCGCACACACAGTTTTAAAAGTGCATTACTTATAAACCACTGATTCACTAAAAAGTTGCAGAGACCTTCAAAATTATACAGCATTTTGCACAACCCGGTACTTATTGCTCTCAAGAGAAGGAATTTCTTCCATCTGTTCCTGAAACTCCTTAAAAAAACATACATTTCTTGATGAACACAAGGCTTTTGTCGTGCTACAATTGCAATTTCAAAGTGTTTAAAGGCATCAGGGAAAGTTCTCCCAATTCCACAAGAGCGTGAACCGCCAGATGAGGTGAAAACAAAAACACGTGCCAATCCCGAAATGGAAAGTGTGTCTTCCAGGCTGCTCCTGTAACAGAACTCACGGGCCGATTCTCCAGGATTCCTTTTGAAGTCAAATCTCATGGCTGAACATTAGATGAGAAGCCGAACAGAAAAGTTCTAACTTCTAACTAAAATCCTAACTTCTGCAGAACATGCCGTCTCTGAATATTCAACGACCCCACCCCTACCCCAAACAAAAAATCAGAGACTGCCACTTACAAGCTACATCATGCATTTCTAGGCCTAAGATGTGAAAACAAGTACTGTATTGCCAACTCTAAGGCACTGGTAACTTGCTTAACCATCTTGCACTTCATTTAAAGCAGCCTCTACTTAATTTCAGTCACAAGAACAGACTTTATTATGACCAGCAGGACAGGCGGACAAAGGAATTCCATAAAAATATATTTCAACAGAGCCAAAGAACGCAACATGTGGGAGTATAAAAAAATACCAAAACACTTCAATGAAATAAATGGGGTAGGGAAAAACGCAGAACTTGCTTGCTTACACGAAAATGCACATTCAGTGATATGCCCCTGATTTTATTCCATTGTATTTGGTAGAAATAACTCAGAATAATCTAGTGTATATCCCTGAGCACTCAAGCATAAATACACAGCCCGCCTTATTTAGCCCTTCACCTAGCAAAAAAAACAACAACAACAACAACAACAACATTTCACTGTAAAAGTATCACATTTGAATAATTTAGAAAGTCTAATACAGTCATACTCCATACAGCAGCTGCAGAAGTAACTTGTTCCCAATTTTCAAACGCTCTCCAATACTGGTTTCTGTTTCTTAAAAGTATATAGGGGGTTTATGCAAGTAACAGACTATGTACAATTTATTGCAACAGGCATCAGAAGATGGTTTGGCTTGAGCTGTTCCCTTTAAAAGAAGGCTGTCATGCTGTACCTCCTGTTGTGCAGAGGCACGGTTCTCTGAATCCCATTTCGACAGGAGACGCTCAAAGGAGGGCTTGCAGTCAGCTGACAGTTCCTGTTCAACATTTTAAAGCATTAAAAACGCTGCACAAAAGGTAGCTTCACATATGCAATCCCAATTCTCAAACAGTTCAGATAATGGCAATCGCATCACTAAACCAAAGATATGGTCAAACCAACAGATATGGCAGAAAACCCAACTAAGCTGTAAAGATAACATAAATGTGATGCAAAAATAGCGCTCTTTGGTTTTTTTTTTAAATATGCACAGTGAGCTTAATGCTTTTGTGCAAGAAGCAAGAAAGAGAACACTACCAAGATGCACTGTCCTGCTGACTTTGTTTTTGTACGACTTTTAAGAGTAACTACAAAAAAAAAAAGAAAAAAAACAGCCACAATCTGGCTCATCCATTCAGAGTCTCCTCACTGATGCATCTCCTTATCTCCTGTGGCTCTTCCGGCGAACAATCTCTGCCCCAAACATGCTAGTGCAATAAGCCAGCAACGCTGAAACAGCTCTTCAGCCCAGTGCGTACCTGAGATCTGCCCTCCAGCTACCTAGATCCACGTGCTGCCAGGCTTGACAGGGGAGAGACAGGTAAAGCACCATGAACAAACAAGTGGAGGAAAATGCGCCCGTCTGGCTCACTGGCTTACAAGTGGCTTACTGATCCACGAATCGCGACCAGCAGCGTCTTGGAGGATCCCACGGAACCTACTCAGCCACACTGGCTGGGCCGCTTGCTCCACACCCCTCACCTCCCAGACCTCCCTTTATTAGGTAGCGGGACTTCTGGGGCTCATGGGAATCCACGTGGACATTGTGGAGAACGGGAGCCCGAGCCGTGGTTGTGCAAGAGGCATGAGGAAGAAACGGAGCACAAACGCAGGAGCAATCGCGAGTCTGCTAAAGGAAGGAGTGGCGAGCGAGCTCTCTCCCATTCTGGCTCTGCAAGCTAGGACTCTCCGGTTCGCGGGCTGATCCTGGTAACGGCTTGTTTGGCTTGCTCTGGCAGAAGGGAGGGGTCCGACAGGATGGATGTTGTCGTGCTGAGCTGGCGCAGTGTTTGCAACACCACTAGAAAAAAAAACACACACAACAAATGCACATGATTATAAAGGGAGAATCAATGGGCCAACTCTTCAAGTGATCTAACAGTTTTACAAAGGAGCCTCAGCAGTTTGACATTACATTCCTCCCCCCCCAGCAGATGTGGAACAGGCAAAACCACAGTGCAGGCTGAAGACTTCTCAGATGTACTCTGCACAAGCCAAGCAGCACACAGAGCTCCGAGGTATTACATCTCACATCTGTGGCTGACCAAGCACTTCTGTAAGGTAGGACTAGCTCTGATGTACACCAGCAAGAATAAACCTTCCAATAACTAACCATTTTCTGCCTATTTGAACTACTGTTGCAATGGGGATCACATTGGTTTACAAGAAAGATTTTACACTTCATATGGAAGTATCTGCAAAGATATTTTTTTGTCATATAATCAAACATCTGTCCTAAAACTCTTCTATGAGATACTTGGAAACATGACAAGATACTGAACTACAGGCTTTCTGAGCATAACAACCTTATGCTAAACTTTATTATCTTTATTCAGGATAAAATCTGCTCATCTTCTATAGATTTACACATCCTGTTTGTTAGATCGGTGAATTCCCTTCATTCTGGGAAAAAAAGATTATTATATACAATGAAATAAGTGTTCAATGTTAGATAAGGAAATGTTAGATAAGGATAAAGGTGTTAATAAATTAGTTATCAGAGTTACAGTTGTAGGCCACCCACTTGTACATAAACTCTATACATCTAAAGAAAAAACGCCTGTGCAAAAATGTGCCTAACTTCATCTCTTTACATGTTTAACTTCGCCACTCAAGTTGATCTGAAAGTCCATGCATGCTGGAAGAGTAAATGGGTGCCACCACTGATCACAGACTCTCACAGCCATGTCAAAAAGTCCTACTATTTTACAAGTTTAAAACTAGTCTCGTATTAACAATAAATATTTTAATAAGGGATGACAGCGCACTGACAATGATCTCCAAACTTCAGGCTTTCTGTACAGTGTACAAGCTTTCTACTACATTGTGTCCCATGGCTCACACTTGGCTTTGTGGCTGTCACCTCTACCAGCTCTCAGCTGCCTCTACGAATTCATGTAATGTTATAATCTCAACTGAGTTCTAATGTCATATTCGCCGTTATGTGATCACTGTCGCTTGAAGAGCAAAAGCACACACTGGTGTTGCACTTTAAACTTTAAATGCTCTTAAGCGGGAAATATAAAAATCGACAGGGCAAGATCTAGGGGACCTGCTTCACAGATTGCCTGCAGGTGTCATTTTTGTAGTTTGATCAAGGTAAAATGTGACGCAGTAATCAACATAATATCAACGTGCAAAATCCTAACAAGTCAAGAATAATTTCTTTTGAGTGTTCTCGCCTCTGGAAAGTCCAGATAACACAAAAGGAAGCAGTCAGAGATCTTCCTAATCAGCATTTTAACAACTTTCCTGTTCCACACTTTTGCTGCAAATTCTAAAAACAGTAAAAGATAAGCATCTGAAGATCAAAGGAGTAAATATGTTTGATTTTTCTTATGTTTCAAGGATCTATTGCATGTACTGTAACTTTAAAGACCACGCGCCAAACAAAAGAAATCTTGCAGGCAGCATGTAGCCGAAATTGCACAAGATTTACTATCAGGCAAGCAAGCGCGTGCTTCTACCCAATTTTGATTCACAGGGCCTGAAAAAAAAATAAAAAAGAATCTCCTCTCGGAAAGCGGAGTTTGGCGGAAATCAATTTGATCAGTGCGGATAAAAAAATGCTTATGTTCTACCGTGCAAAAAATTATTTAAAAGACAGCTTATCGCGGTTTCCCAAAAATATTTTATGAAAAAAAAACTGCCGTTTCTACAAAGATGGCGTGATTCATCTAAAGCAGAATATACAAATAATAGGAATGTAGAAATAAATGGAACTCAACTGTTGTCACGAAACTTTTAACCTCCATCACAAAAATAAAATCTCTGCGCTGAGGCTGCAGGAGTGCTGAATTTCAACTGGTTTTGTGAAAAGGAAAATCAAAGTAATAAAATGAGGTTCGGAACCAAATCTTATGTGAAGTGGGATTTAAAGTGAGGAAGCCACAAAGAAAAGCGTGTGCATCATTTTGTCTAGACCAAGCAGAGACAATTGTTTTAGAAGCTACAACAGCTGTCCTTTAAGGGTGTCTCTAGGTCGTGTTTTTCCCCAGTTTAAATGCCTCTTTCATCACCAGTCGTCTGCCAATGGCCAGACGGTGCTGTCAATCACCAACGTTGTCCTTCCATTCTCAACATGATCATCCCCTGACCTCTGACTGGACAGAATGGTTGCCTTCTTTCGAGGTGTATGGGATCAGGTATTGGAGGAGAACAGAGTTCTGGGCTCATTTAAGGAGGTTCACATGTCACATCAGACCACACATGGAACTCACAACAAAATGGGTGCTCCCATTTGTTCTGATTAAAAATAAAAGGTGCAAATGCTTTAAGACAGAACGTTTCTTTATCAGACTCTGAAACTCTGCGATGCACATGATTTATAGGGGAAGCTAAAAAAAATATTTAAAAGAGCCTAAAAGGTTTTAAACGCTACAGCAGATACCAATCACCATCTAAACGGAAAACATTTGCAGCAGGGCAAGTAAACATAGAAGCAGCTCTGCAAAACGAGGCAGCACATTCATAGGTGCTTGAAACTATTAGCGTTCCTCAATAAAACGCACTCCCTCTCTATGTGATAATACAGCAATTTTTAATCTTGCGATTCAGGCAAACGCAGCAAGTTTTTTAGTGGCAACGCAGTCAGCCTTTTCTTGGGTTTCTAGTCGTCTCTAAATTCCGAAAATTCTTCATTCTCGAACAATCTGCGTAGGCATCAGTACTCACTTGGGCGCAGAACGGGCAAGGAGCAATGTCGATCAAGCCACTGGAGTGTAGTCTGACACAGCTCTTCCGTGCTCGTCGTAGAAACCATCCCGTTGAATGACTCAAACAATGGCTTTATGATTATGCTGAACTGTTGACTCACAGGTTAAGGTTCAATTGAAATAAATGTTTTGCTATTAAAAAACAATCATGGAAACGCAACCATCAGAAGCATAACGCAATCCCAGTCGTGGTCTTGGAGGACCACACACCTGGCTTCTGTTCCAGCCCAGCCCAGTCGCTCAACAGAACAGGTGAAGGTTTATTCCGTTCTGAAAAGAAAGGAGGCAATGTTTCAACTGTTTCAGGCTTCTTCAGTGGTGTCAGGTGCTCCCTTTCTTTTCAGCATGGAATAAACCTTTACCTCTTCCTTTGCAGCCTACACATGCTGACTCAGCTCCCTGCTTGACCTTCAGTCACACAAATGAACCCTTAACTGACTTAATGGGATAATTCAAACTGACTGCTTTGAGCTCTTAAATGTCTTTGAAGATGTCTTTTTTTAACTGCATGTAATACAATTGAGAACAATATTTAGCCAATATTGAGAACAATATCACTTGCAAATATAATCTTACAACTTGTTAGTTCAATTAAGTCGTCAATAAGGGTAAATAACCTGGGCTGGAATGAGAGCCAGCTGGTGTGGTGGGCATTCAGGAAGCCTTGGTGAAAAGGAACTTTGAAAGGAGAAAGGTTGTACGCGTAGAGGCTGGATATTCCAGTTCTTCTGTGGTTTCCGGTTTTAAAAGAGCAGGAAAAATGGCAAAACAATGACCAAATCTCTAGCATTTTTAAAATAACAGTCTGTCGATACTTCCGCCATTTTAACTTGAACAGGACGGCCTAGTGTATGCAGCAGCCTTTGAAGTCTAACTCACAAAGCTTCCATGGTCAGGTCTGGTCTTTCTGACCCAGCCTTTTTCCGACGAGGAAAAAAAATTAAGACAATTCTAGCTAGGGCAAAAATGCCAGAATCAACAGATCTAGTTATGAATAACTCATGGTTATCAAGATAAAATGTAGCTCATCTGTCAACTGATCTTTGTAGAGGTAACTTGGGAGATATCTACGCCAAATCTCTCAAGTACTTTCAAAGGTGGTGGCGGTGATGACAAACTCAGATGTGCATCATCTGTCAACACGTAAATTGCCCCGATAATGCCTGTGAATACAGACATGAAAAAAAAAAAGATTACAAAATGATTACGAATTCCACAAGCGGGACATTCCGAACTTCTGCTGTGACACGTTTTATTCAAAAACTTTTCTTCCCCTTTTCAAACCTCCGGAATACGTAGGTGGGCAACTCTGGGTCCTTTCTCTGGGCTGCAACCGAGCACAGACATCTATAGACTTCTCCAAGGTGCTTTTCTAAGTAAAAAAGTTGCTCGAGAAGTGTTTTTAAATGGTTTTATAGAATGAAAACGTGAACCTTCTGCAAAACCTGCAGGAAGGGAGGTGTTTAATATAGTATGGGTTGTTAAAGACCGTTCAGCTGCTCTCAATCTTAATCCGGTGGAACCCTAGATTTTTGGTCCAACCGGGCTGGTTAATCACCAGTGTTCACTGATGCCTACAGTATATGTGACCTGCTTGCTATTTACACTTCTTATACACTCAAAATTTCAGGTGGTTTAAAATGAAAAACATTCTTTAATACTGCAGATTCTTAACTAGAAGGTGGTAGGTACTAAGACCAGAAAGGTAGCTGCTTTTGGAGACTTAAGCAAATTACTTAGATCTCTCCGATTGCTCATGCTGATAGTACTCAGCTATATACACAGGTACAAATAGAAGTCACTTTAACGTTAGCATTCCTGCCTTGCAACGCTGGGGCCCTGGGCTCTATTCCAGACCTGCAGTTCTGTCTTTGTAAGGTCTGATGTGGGTTTCTTCCGGGTGCTCCTGTTTCCACCACAGTCCAAAGACATGCTGGTGGGATAACTGGCTTCTGGGAAAACCGACCCTGGTGTGAGTGTGTCTGCATGCATCTTGAAATGCAATATATACTTAATAATAATAATGAGAAGGAGGAGGACTGGAGACCAGAGATACTGCAAGGATACCACCCAGAATTTCCAGTTCTGCAGTGTTCTGTTCTTCACGTACTCGTCGAACGTGTCCCGCATGTGGTCGAAGCGATGGCGCGTGATTGGGACGCCAGTAGCCGGGAGCTGCTCCTGGCAAGAGCTGCAAGAGACACACGTTCATCTCTCCATTCCGACTGAAGAGCTCAGAGTGCGGACATGCAGGCAGAGCGCCGGACAAAGGTTATCTGCTGGTCATCGTCGGGGGAGGAGGGTGTTGGGTTTTTTTTTTTTAAAGAGTTCTCAAAAGCAAAACACATGCCTCAAGCTTGCACACAAAATCGGTTCGTTTGGATTCGAAACTTTTAAAAACACACCTGGGCAATACGTACTGGGCAATAGGACCACAACAGAAAATTCAAAATACCGAAAAGTTTGGAATACTTTCACAGCTGTTTACTGTAGGCGCTTGCACATCTAGAGTGCCTGTGCATTTTGTCACAGATGTGCACAGGGAAACGCCAATGTTATCAACATTCTTTCTTTCAGAGCGAGCTCTCACCCAGCAGCATCACTCACTTGATTGAAGCGCTGAGCTCTTCGATCTCTTCCTTGAGGCGCCTGGCTTCTTCCTGCATCTGCTGGCGCTCCTGCTGTAACTTAGCGATGTACTCAACTGTCTTCTGCAGAGTAGCGGCGTTACTGATCTGGGGGGGGAGACAGAAGAACTCCTGCACCAGTGCTTTCCTTTACCGACTCAACCCAGAACCTCATCCTGTCTGTCCGCTTGGGTGTTGTCGAAGCTAGAACAATTGTTACATTTTCTAGTTCAACGAGAAGTGCTCATTAAGAGCACATTTGGGGTTTTTCAAGAGTTTCATTAAACAACACTTTTTTTTATGACTACGACTTGTCAACTAGGCCAAATTTATGTGGAACTAAAAAAAAAAAAATCTTATCTGTGTCTATTTTAGCAGACAAACGCTCGTTTCCTTTGCGGGAAGGAAGATTTCTCTGTAGGGCTCAGGATTTATTTACAGAGTATCTATCCTGGCTATCTCTCAAAAGTAATTTGTGGAAACCCACAGCACTGTCACGCGTACACATGCAGGCCTTTTATTCAGATATGTTTTATATCAATAACACATCAAACAAAATCCTCCGTGCCAGCTTACTCGAAATAGATCAGTCTTAAAGTGTCAGCCCATACATAAAAACCAGCTTAATGCTCATTAAATGAAAGACAACCCACCGGTTTTGAATTGGACTGAGATTTCAACGTTGATACCAAACTGCTTAAGGTTTTAAAACCGATCTTGATGTTGAAGCGCCTCTTTTGCTCAGCAGAAATGTGACTGCCTCTGCGGCCCTGCAAAGACATGCACAGAAAACGTGAGTGCGGACATCCTCTACCCGAACAGTTCCATTACACGCCTTCCCTTGTACAACACCACTGCCTGATGTTAACCTGTGCCATTAACTACTGCTGCACCGTCCTCATTCCTGTAGTGAAAACAGCTTTACACTTTGGCATTTACTGCTGGGAAATACTGCTGGTTCACTAATATCTGTAATGAAATGGTGCTGATTATTATACAGGCTGTTTGCATAGGGCAAAAAAAAAGGTTGCACAGTATATGTAATGGAAAGGATGCCCAGCACTGGAGGAATCGAAATGCGGAAGACAGAGGACAGGGGAAATGGAGCGGCGTGCGGATAGAGAAACAGGAAGGGCAGCAGGAACCTTCATGACCATCTGAGGCTCCGGCTTGGCGAGGCTGGCCGAGCTGCCATGGGGGGACTGGGGGCTGGGGCACTGTTCCGAGGCACAGGGGGACCCCTGACTCGAACGGCGGCCGTCTCGCGCTGAAACACAAACACAATCCCACCACCGTTACCTCCAAACCAACCAGGCGAAACGAAACGCTTTATTCGAGGCACGCAAATACGTTTCTTCATCGCGGTGGAAACTCTCCCGACTGTCTTTCCAGCTTTGGCCAATCTGCCACCTGGGCAAAGTCCCTACCTCTGGCTTTAGCAAAAACGTATCTAGGTGCAGATACTATACTGAAACCCCAGGAGAAATGCTTCAGCTATGCAGTGGCCTAAAAAGCAAACATACTGGGACCAAAAAGTGTCCCAGCACCTCTGATCACTTGAAATTACCGCTTTGAACACAAGGATTATTTTGTTCTATTATGATCACTGGCATATACAGAATGGTTTTCAAAATACAATGTATATTGTACTTATTACCAAATCTTATGATAACAAAATACACACCACCAGACTTGAAAACAAAAGTAACATTTCTGACTGTCACAATACTTTTGGAGGGCACAACACAAAATATTAAAACATGGGTTAAATCCTTAAGGTCTCAAATAAGAAAGGGTTCAAAGAACCAGGCATGCCAATGGAAGGAGGACCAGTTGCTCATGTGCTCCGACTCCATCCATCTGTTTTTGAATGGCTTTATCCAATTCAGGGTCGCGGGGGTGCTGGAGCCCCTCCCAGATACACCCCGCCTGGGACGGGACACTAGTCCATCGCAGGGCCAGTGTTTCCAGAAGCCAATGAACCTACCAGTCCTCAGACCGTGGGAGAAACCTGGAGGACACCCGCACGAACACGAGAGAATGTAGAGACGGCACCATAGGAAATGTGCCAGGGCCCCAGCGCTGTGAGGCAGCACTGGTAACCACTGCGCCACTGGGCCGCCCTAGTACAAGATCAGAATTTCGAATTAAGGTGTCTATGGGAACCTCATGTGGGACGTCCTGGAAGAAGAAGCAGAAAATCACACACCCAGCTCCCCAGAACCCTACCGGCTGTGGGGGAGGGGGCCTGGCTCGTGCAGGTCGTTAAGCTGTTCCTCTCTTCTTTGGGGACGATGAGGTGTTTCGAGTTCTGAGCTTGCAGTATGTGGAACTCTGGCAACCCTGAAGTCTGAGGAACAGCAAGAAAGCAGGTAACGTGAGGAACATCTCAAGGATTCGCCCAGGGAAGTACGATCTCTATTACTAAACATCAGTAAGGACCATTTCCACAGACGCATTTGAAGAACATTTTAGCCGCAACTTACGGATGCCTTTTGTCATTTAAATCGGAATTCCTTCATGCGTTAAAGAGCAAGCAAGGACACATTATGAGGGAAGAGGCAGGTGCCTCTCCAAGTGCCTTTAGACAATTAGATTACTGGGTACCAATCCACTTCAACACTTACCCTCCCGATGGCTGTGGGTGCAATAACGACGCCCCCTGAAGGGACACACTCGGTTTTCAGGGGTCCAGGGGTGACAATCACAGCACTGGGCTGGCCAGGGAAGGAAGCTGAAAAACACAATCCTTGTGCTCGCTATTTGACACTCAAACCCATTCACTTAAACAACTAAGCCAGCAGGTGAAACCATGATTAACTGACAAAAAGAAAAATTCAAAATAGAGTTCAAAGGGGCATTTTAGTTAAATTTTGGGGGCTTACAAGTTCAAAAATTCATTCTTCACATGTACTTTGGAAGGCTTCTACCCAGGAGTCCGGCCTGAGCCACAAACCCACAACAATCTAACCACAGCGGCAAATCAGACCAATTTAACTATCCGGGGCAAAGCGCAGCAGTAGCCAAGAGGTGAATACAGCTCACTGATGGCATCAGTCATTTGATGCCTTTTTTTGGGGGGGCATTCTGCCTTTAAAAATACATAGCTTGGGCTTCCAGAACCATTAGGTACTCCACCTCCACCATATTCAGGTAGTGTAACAGTCAAAATGCCCACGGAACACAAACCACGCTTTTGTGAGCACGAAGACCTGCAGAGACGATAAAACTAAACCCTCCTGGGAGCACTTCTGCCACCTTGAGTACGACAGGAGAAACGCCCTTGGCCGCACCACCGCTGGATATTTTGCTGTATACTTCTCATACGCAATGACACCTGATGGTTCACGTACAAGACCTGTAATTATTCATTCAGAAAAAGCATAGCACATTTGCACAGTTCCTCTCCACTAAGGAAATGCCACTGCTGTTTAAAAAAATAAGAAATGACCCATCTGTGAGGTAGGCAGACATGAATTCATAACAGATATTTTATATACCACCTCTTATATTATTATTCTTATTATTATTAATCCATCATCATCATAATACAGATGAGAAATGATAGAGGGGCGAAGGTTACCTGTTGCTAAGAACGTAACTGGTTTGGGAGCAGGCACAATTTTGTGCAGATGCTTTGTCTTCTTTCCTGAGACGGAGGGGTTGATCGGCCTGGGGAGGGCGAAGGGC